GCTCACACCACCACCACCACCACCACCAACATTAGAACTTCTAACTTGGTCTCTGACTATTACTCATATTAGCTGACCTCATCACCGCTCTGCTCTGCTCGTCTCTTCACTCTTCAATTCTGTCTCACACGGTGTCTGTTCGTCTCCGTCACCACTTGGCCATCATTTGAGGACAGTAGTCCGGATCATCATCAGAGGCATCAGCTTCCATATTAGTTTTGCGTTCAGCAGCATCAGCATCAGCAGCAGCGACACTACACAGACTTCTCTTGTATTCTCCAATATCATCTTGCTACTGTTTTTCCATTCCCCGATATCGAGCTACCGCTGCCTGCTTATCATCAACTGCGCGCTTCACTCACGGTCTCCTCTCTCTTTCTCCCTCTCTCTTTCCTCTTATCGACCTCGTCTTCGCCGACAAGAGTCCCTTGGGTAAGTAAATTAAATTTCGCCTTGCTACACGTTTGCTGTCTTTGGCAATGGTTTGTTTCTTCAAGCAGACTTCTGTCAGTGCTACTGACTAGCTTGGTACAATCTGTCGGTCTGAGGGTTTCACGTCGACAGGGCAATGCAGTTGAGTGGCAATCGACATGCATAATTACTAGTGTTTCGTTTTCAATCCGCCTTTCCCCTCCTCCTCTTCCTCTTTGTTGAATAGGTCAATAGATGATTATCGAGTTAGTGCTAGTTAATTTGGCTGACTTTTTTTGCCAGCATCATCATCAACACCACTACTGCAATCATCACCTGGCTACAACATCTCTTTTTTGTACTGTACTCATTTAGTCGTTTTATGGCACCCGTATAATACCATTTTCCACTTACATGTCACCGACACTGTTCTCATGTCATTTTAGGACAATAAGACTCTAAAAGCAACACTGCAGCAGCTTGCTAACGAGTCCCTAATGCACTTTCCTGTCAGTCTGCTGTTAGTCCTCTTGGCAGCCACTAATTGTGCCGGGTACTGTTGGCGGCCGCGGTGGTGACGATGGTAACTACTGCTCTTGCCGCGATCACACTTCGGTGGCCAATTGGTGGTTGCTGTGATTTGCTAGTTTTCTGCTTTCATTGCAAACTAATTACGGATTTGCCTCAATGTGTGATCCAACAAACCGTGCACCGAGCAACTGATTGGCGCTGGGAAATACTAATGTAGACACACTGACTGACAAATGTTTACTTAGAGCATTAGATGGATGGCAGGTCCAGTGAAAGCTGATGAATGCAGTTATAAAGACATGCCAACTGGTCATTCAATTCGAGGGAGAGATTTCAATTTCTCTCTGTTTAAATTTAATTTCTTCCTCCCCACTTCAAGGTTGATTCACAAGGGGAAACAGTATCCAATCTCAGCAAGCTGAGCTCACTGGACTGCAACCAAATTGAGCACCTGTTCCCTCGCTCACTTTCTCCTCCCTGACAGAGAGTGTATCATTGTGACCATCGATTTCACACACGCCCATGAATTGCAGCACGAATTGTGTTGCGGTGAATGTGTGTGTGCTGTTCTGTTATCTGCATCAGCACCCTTCTTTTTCTTTTTTAAAGTGTGTCGTACAGTAGTGGTCTTTTCTGCACTGGCTTTTGCGGTAGAACTGAAAGTTGCGCACTCAAAAATACACATGTACAGCAAGGCAACATCCCCACAAGCACTGCTCATTTTATTTGTTTGTTATTTTACGAATCAATGCAGCTGAAAAGTTACTTTAGGTGTTGTTGTTGCAGGTGGTGACAAAACCAGTGATGAAAGATGGCCATTTTGCACTGTAATTAAAGTTTGCCCATACATAGATGTGTGTGTCGACTGAGTGCAGCAGTTTAGGCGAACCAGTGTGTGTGTGTGTGTGTGTGTGCAGTGTGTTTGAAGGAGCTCTCGTGAACAATGAGACAAAAAGCTTGACTAAGCGAAAGAAAAAAGAAGAAAAAACATGACAAATGTTTGCGTCTGTGTGCGTGTCGCCTTTCGCTTTTTGGAAATTGTGGGCATATTAAAATGGACGCGCTATGCTGAGTGTGTTCCACACTACCGAGACATTAACACGTTCATCGATCTGACATTAGCCAGTTCCACTTCATATCAGTATGTGTGTGTTTCAGTAGTATTTGTTGACCTACATTATTAGTGCGCCTAAGTGCATTTATCACTGCATTTATTGTAGATAAATTGTGTGTGTGTTTTTGTGTGTTTATCTGCCCATTCTATCTTCTCAAGTCAGTTGCATGGACGGACTGAGAAAACGGTAAACTTGAACTACTGTTGACTTTATCAAAAGCAGTTTCAATCGCTCAATCTTTCTGCTACTGTTCTGGGTTAAGGACAGAGCAAACTTTTCCTCTTGAGTATGGCCAAAATCAATGGTCTGATAAAAAGAAAAGATGGAACAATAGAATGTGTTTGTGTGAACAAGTATGCCGATAAATAGAATTTGCATTTAGTTGAAGCAGTTGATGAAAAAGACGATTCTGGAACCTTTTTTTCCTTTTCTTGCCAATATATTTGATTTTTGCCCGGATTGCAAAGCCTCCTTTGTCATGCAAAGTGACTACTGATGAGGCAAAACTTTGCCAAATTTCCCAGCACCGTATCACTGTCATCACGTCGGCCCATTAATTTTCATTATCATCTCATCGTTCGAGCAGAGGCGAAGTGAGTGCTGTGATTACGTGATTACGTCAGTAGTCCAGGCGACATTGTACTTTTGACGGTATTACTAAGTGTATGTATACATTATTGGGAAGCCATCAATGGGGTGATAAGAAAGGCACTGAACGATGCCCGGACAGACAGATGCTATTTAGATGATGGATGGTGGAAGTACTAATTGGGACTAGCTAATGAGCAGTAACCGCATAGCACCAGTAATGAAAGCTTTATTGCCCAGGAAGATTAATGTGATGCGATGTTCTTTCTGCCAAAGCTAGCAGTCAGATGCACTTTCACTCTTTTTGATCTTTGAGCTACTTTTTAGTGGCATTTGTATCACGTAGCACCTCTGGGTGGGTTATGGTTGGCGTTGCCCAAACACTGACAACACCGGTGCTTGACACTACCTAACCTGTGGGTTACTAACCTGCAAAAAACCTTTCTTTTTGCACAACTAAATTGGCAGCACTTTGTTTCTGGTGACTCTAGATTCGCATCACGCACCCGGCAATGTGCGTTAATTAAAATGATGATGGCCACTTGTGTGCCACCGGTGACTCATATTTGATAGCGTTGTCCACTTCACCGGCAGAATTTTGGCCGTTGTGTTGCAGCTGGCTGAAGTGTCAGCTCAAACGATCAGATAACACAAATGACAGATGCGGCAGAGGAAGCACTACTCAACCAGCACTTTGAACGTGTCTGTGCGCTGTGAATTACCACGCACTGCACTGATGTTGTTTTTGTTTGTTTCACATTTAGACATTTGTGCCTTTGAGGAGAGAGGGCTCACTGTGTAAGGACCAAAACCTTTACCAGTTGATTGCCATTTGAAGGCAACTGTGCACTAATTAGTTTCTACATCTATTTTTATATCCATCTAATGTACCTTTATTTCTGTTTGCAGAACTTCACGGATTAATGTGATATGGTGAAAGGCCGAAGTACTTGAATCAAATTGACATTTTTCATGCTAAACCAGAATGGCTCATACACCAAATCATGACGTTGTAGTCGCGTAAAAAATTTTTGGCAGTTTTGTTGATGTTTAGCGGAAGACTACCAACTTTTGTAGCAAGTGCTTCAGTGTGCCCAACGTCCCACTCCAGCAATAATCATGGCTTCCAGTGACACGTACTACTTCACCCTGGCCGACTATGCCGTCTTTCTCGGTATGCTGCTCGTCTCTTCCGGCATCGGTCTCTACTTTGCCTTCAAGGTAAGCCCCTATCATGTGACTGAGTGAAACTTGTTGACCTTTGCTGGTGTACTTGCACTTTTGGTATTGCATAACCTTCTCATTTGATAATGGTCATAGTCCAGGCTACAATGCTCAATAACAAACTAAAATTAAAAATGACTTCTATAGTCACCATCGATAATGATAGCATTATCTTGAAAGTGTCAGTTTATTTATTGAGCATTGTTAGGGAAAAAATTCAATTGGTAGCATTCATCAATGAGTTCATTTAAGAGCCACTTTGGTATGAAACACATTGTTCATAAGATGCACTTGATAAAAATATTGCAAACGGTGGATCTATAACCTAAATAAAAAACTTATACTTTTTCTAGAATCGGAAGAATCACTCAAACAAAGAGTTCCTAACGGCCAACAAGTCTCTGGGGCTGTTCCCAGTGGCAATGTCGCTGCTGGCAAGTTTCCAGAGTTCAGTCACTATTCTCGGCTACCCAGCGGAGATGTTCTACCGGGGGACCCAGTTTTGGATGGTCATACTGAGCAGTCTGATGGCCAGTGCCATTGCCGCTGAGCTCTTTCTCCCTGTCTTCTACAAACTGGGCTTCACCTCGGTCAATCAGGTAGCATCAAAAAGCTATTCAAAAAAGAGAAATAGTTATATTTTACTTAATTTTAAATAACCTAGTACCTTGAAGAGCGATTCGGCAGCTCCCGCGTCCGCCTGGCCGTGTCCGCCTCTTTTCTCCTCTGCACAGTGCCCTACATGGGCGTCGTCCTGTACGGTCCCTCACTGGCGCTGGAAACGGTGACCGGCCTGAGCGTCACCGCGTCCATTCTCATCATTGGCGGCATCTGCACGCTGTACACCTCCATCGGCGGCATCAAAGCGGTGGTCTGGACGGACGTGGTGCAGGTCTTTCTCATGTTTGCCGGTCTCATCGTCGTCATGGCCAGAGGGTTCTACCTGTCGGGCGGCGTGGGCGCTGCCTTCAGTGCCGCTTCCAAGGACGACCGGATACAGTTTTTCAAGTAAGTCAATCACAGTGGGGAATTTCAGCTGCCGACCACCTCTCTAATCTTCACCTGCCCAGCCTCAACTTTGACCTGTACTCTACGACGACGCTGTGGAACACAGTCATTGGCATGGGCATCATGTGGAGCGGCAACTACGCCACCAGTCAGACTGAGGTGAGTGAAAAGAGTACGTACAACATTAATGTTCATTACTGTTATTGTTCAGGTGCAACGATACTGCAATGTGAGCACTGAGCGACGGGCCAAGGCCGCCCTTTACCTCAACTTCATCGGCGTCGCCCTCCTCATCAGCTGCGCCTGTCTCTGCGGCATTGCCCTTTACGGCTTCTACGGTCACTGTGATCCACTGCGGGCGGGCGCCATCACCAAGACTGACCAGCTGATGCCGTACTTTGTCATGGCCGAGCTGCAGCACCTGCCCGGACTCGCTGGCCTTTTTGTTAGCTGCGTCTTTAGCGCCTCTCTCAGTACAATGAGCAGCGGATTCAACGCTCTGGCGACTGTAACATATGATGACTTTCTTGGTCAGACGGCTTTCATGAAGGCGCTGCCGGAGAGGAAGGTGCAGATGGTGAGCAAGGCGGTCGCCTTTGGCTACGGCATCCTAGCCATTCTCATGGCCTTTGTAGTTAGTCAGATCAACTCTATTTTGGAGGTAGGTGAAAGGAGTGTTGGTGTATTGACTGCTCATTTTGTTTGGTGTACTTACAGGCAGCCATCTCCATTGCGGGCGCTCTGGTCGGCCCAATGTTTGGCCTTTTCCTCCTCGGCATCCTCTGTCCGTTTGCCAACGCCTTTGGCGTCCTCTGCGGCCTCTTTACCGGCGAGTTTTTTGGCCTCTGGCTGCTCATTGGCTCGCTCACCTTTCCGAAGAAACCGCAAATGTTGCCCACTGAAATTGACCAGTGTCCAGCTAATGCGACCGCTTCTTTTGCCACCTCGGTGTTCACCTCTGGTCCGACGGTGACGCCGTTGAACACCGATGACCCCGATCGAACGGGAATGCTGCACTTTTACCATATCGCCTTTCTCCTGGTGCCCGTTTTTGGTTGTTTCATTTCACTCATAGTCGGCTTCATCTGTTCACTACTTTCAGGTGGCACGAAAACGGCACAGAAGGTGCCGCCGCAGTACCTGAGCAAGGTCGCCTGGCTTCTGTGGCCGGCGCACCTGTTGCCTGAAAAGAGCAGTAGTATCGACTCAATTGAGTATGGCAGCAATGGCATTACTACTAAAAGCAAACCGGGATCAGATGGGAACAACGTAAAAAACAATAACAACAACAACAACAACAACAACAACAACAATGTCAAACCGAGTGACATTCAGATGACGCAGTGTGACGGCACTTCGCCAAAGAAGAACTTTGGCAGTGAAAGCTGTCGATCAGGTGGAAATCCACATTTTGAGAATGTCAAACGCAGTCGCATCATCAAACAGAACGCATTTGACGATGACACCGGTGAGGACGGTGATGAGAAGACGAAGATCCTCGCCTACCGAGCTTACTCGCCGGAGACGGAAACCTCACTGACGACTGACACCTCGCCACGGCCACCCGGGGGCGATCGTCGCGACTTTTCGCCTGCCACCACTATTTCAGGTCCTTCCACTTCTGACTACTCCAGCACATCTTCCATTTCACCCTCCTCTCCGGAGACGGTGCGCAAATCGTGAGCCTGAGAGGTGCTCGCCTCCAGCAAACTTTCACCACCCACCGTTGACCACACTATCATCGCCATCATGGTTGGACCAAACTATCATCAAACCGTTTTTATTTTTTCTCTTATCACAAGCAACACTACCATCACCTTTTCACTCTGTTGTTCTTGGCTCCTCGCCCCCTCCTGTCACACTTTCCCCTGACCTTTCCAAAGGATTTTATCTAATGTTACAGCTATTCTTTAAGATGATTACCTTTCATGCTGATTACTATTGTAATGCTTACATTCAATTTTACACTTTTCCAATTGATTGAACTGAAAAAGAAAGGAAATAACACCAGTTTGATGGTGCTGAAGAAGTGCCCGTCAAATAGGTATGTTTACCGATTGTTTACTCCTTTTTCTACCAACTTTTGTTGATTACTCTTGAGCAAAACGATCAAGATATGTTTATTGGTTGTTAATAAATTTAATATCAATTACCTAAAACTATTGGGTTCACCAGGCCAATTGGCGGAGTGGCTTTGTGGAAACATTCTATCCCTCAGAGGTTGAGGGATCAAAACTAGACCAACTTGCTATATCATTGATAGCTTTATTTATTTTTATCATTGTTTTTAATTGTGTAAAGTACCAATAGTGGATTTTGATATCTACATTTTGATGGTATTGGTGATAACTACAGTTTAGCTCTAAAGGTCGACAGGACCTTTCTATTTATTGATTAATTAAAAATGTGGATTGTTATGTCACTGCAGATGTTGGTGTTGTTGTTGTTTTTGTTGTTAAGCGTAAGATAGCCGATTTAATAAAGTTGAGATGGAATTTTGTCAGTGATGTTGGCCAAAATAATCCACAAAAGTATAAAATACGAGTATAAAAAGCAATCCTTGTACAACGAGATTTTGAATGCTCGTTTTTGAATGAAAATGAAGCTCTATTTAGCCATTCTCTTGCTGACAATTGTTGGCACTCATGCCTGGAACAATGGCCTTGCGCGAACACCACCAATGGTTTGTCCATTTAATTGGCTTCACAACTTTAGTAAATTGACAATTACATTTTCCTTTTAAATTTAATATCTAGGGATGGCTATCGTGGCTCAAGTTTGCTTGTACAACTGACTGTTCAACCTACCCAAAGCAGTGCATTAATGAGCAGCTCTACAAGGACATGGTAGATAAACTAGCATCAGACGGATACCTTGCACTGGGATACAATACAGTCAATATTGGTAATTTTTTTTGTCATTTTTGCAATGATTTTTCTATATTTTTGTTCTACTTTTACACATTTAAAGACGATTGCTGGATGGAAAAGGGTGGTAGAGATCCGACCACAAAAAGACTGATTCCCGAGAAGCATCGTTTTCCAAGTGGCATCAAATCACTAGCTGATTACGCTCACTCAAAAAAGGTGCAGTTAGGAATATACGAAGACATTGGGTAAGCATTTTTAAAATAAAAGATACTTTGAGTGAATTATTCTTTTTTCGCAACAGTAAATCAACATGTGCAGGATATCCAGGCACCTTTAGCTTCAACGGCTCAGTAGACTACACCGAAGTTGACGCTATGACTTTCTCTGACTGGGGCGTGGACTCGTTGAAGTTGGATGGCTGCAACGCAAACCACCCGTATAAGGACACCTATCAGGCTTATTCACGAGCACTAGGAAAGCAAAAACACAAGATTGTTTTCGGCTGCAGTTGGCCACTTTTTGACCAGCACCACGCCGGCGATGAGATGTACAAAATTCTTCATGAGCACTGTCACTTGTGGCGTAACTACAATGACATTGAGGACTCTTGGCGATCTGTGAAGGGCATTATTGAGTTTTATCGGATGAACGTGCATCATTTCCTCAAATGGCACGGTCCGGGAAGTTTCTTTGACCCTGACATGCTGATCATCGGCAATGATGGCCTGAGTTATGAACAGTCAAAGTCTCAGATGGCATTCTGGTGCCTCTGGTCGGCCCCTCTTTTGATGTCCAATGATCTGCGTGACATCAAACCTGAATTCAAAGCCATTCTGCAAAATAAGCACCTAATTGCAGTGAACCAGGATCCACTGGCGGTCATGGGCCACGTCGTGTTTCACGAGGGAAATAAGCAGATGTGGGTGAAGAAGCTGTCGCCGGCAGTGGCTGGAGGGCTAAACTCATATGCTGTTCTGTACTTTAACGACGACATCATCGGTCCACCGGCGGTGATGTCCCACCAGCTGTCAAAGTTGATTCCTGAACTGAAGGCAGGCCACAAATACGACGTTCATGATCTGTTTGATGATCACGCAAAACTGGAGACATTGACGCCGGAGCAATCGTTGACATTGAGAGTGCCAATCTCTGGTAGTGTCCGAATGGTAAAACTTGTGCCTCATAATTAGAAAAGCTCACTAATGATTTTTGTCGTGAAAAAGAATAAAAATCAGTTTTAATGCCCAAATTGTTAGGTGGAACTTTCCATGTTCAGTGTTGAGATTTTCACTAACTTGATAAAAATTCAAATTGTTAGAACTTTTCAACAAATATATTGTCAGCTCAGTTTTTAAAAAAAGTTATTTGTTACTCAAACTAACGTTTTATCAATTCATGAATATGATCATAAAAATTTTGACGTTGATTTTCTTTATTTTCCAAGTTATGTTTGAAGCCCAAGTTGAATCTAGTAAAGTCGATTCAGCAGGTCTTTCTTCTTCAGAAATAAACAGCAATGAGGGTGACTTTACACTTCGATCTGGTGCCCCTTGCCAAAAGTACACTATTATCGGTATGTAAATGAAACGTTAGTTTATGGAGAACATGTATCAAAGATTATTCTTGCCCTTCCAGCTATCTCCCTGGGCGGCTTCTGTTGCTTTGGAGCCTTTGCTATTTTACTGATGATTTTTTGTATTCTCAAGCGCCATGAGCAGATTAAAAAGTACAAGCTGATAATAGACACGCTCATTGAAGGGGGAGGAACTGCCGGAGAAAAGGTTCAGAAACAGATTGGCGGTGAAAAAAACCAATCGAATGACTTTCGGCAGTTATGGCCTTTGTCGCCAAGCAAAGCAAATGCAGATAAACAGTCAAAAATTCGCAAACGGAAAACTAAAGACAGTGACGTTTCAGTTGGCAGCACCAGCACTAGTACTACGAAGAACACTACCCAGAAATCGCCAAAAACTACTTCGTCGAAAACTACTTCGCCGAAAACTACTTTGGCAAAAACTACTTTTCCAGAAACAACTTCACCAGTCAGCAGTCGCCTCAATGCTGTGGGCAAAGTTGAGAAAACCAGTGCCACAGTGCCAAACAAGCCCATTGCTGTCAAAGCACCAGAGGCAAAGGAGTTACCGCCTTCTAACTTTGTGGTTCTTTCAAACGCAGTCACTGTCAAGTCCTCTGGTTTGGGCTCCGGCTCGGCCACACGTCGGTCAATGAGCTACAACCCTTCGCAAGCCTCTGATTCGACCTCTTCATCTCCGAACAAGCAAGAGTAAAAAAAGTGAAACAGCTTACTCTGTTCTCCGCCAATTTAATGTCAACTGCTGTAATAAATTGTTCTGCTTATTGATGATGCTTATCAAGTCAACGAAAATTATTGCAGGGATGGCACAATTCCTGCTACGACAGTTGCTGACACTTTCACTGTCACTGTACAGTGTCTTGTGTATTGGGTCGGTCGTTTTGTCATTTCACTTCTTGCACTTTCAGGTCGCCAGTGTTTGTCATCAGAGTGTTTAATACAAACAAATAAAGAAAACAATAATTAATTAACAGGTGCGACTCAATGAGGTCAAGAAGGTGAAGAAGAAAGTTGAGCAGGCTTCCTGCGTGCACCGCTTCTGCCGGACACTGCCTGCTGATTTCGTCGTGACAGGCAAGTGCTCTTGAAACAGTCATCCACTGATGGCCAATTGATACACAAACAGAGTGGACAAACGAAGACGGATAAGACGGAGTAAAGAAAGAAAGAAAAAGAAGAGTCCAGAAGAGAGTCACTTCACTCGGCAACTGTTTAATCCGCCTTTGTCGCCGCTTTTTTGTCACCTTCTCTCGTCAGGCCGGCCGAGACTGAGCGAGTAAAGTCGTCTCGCTTTTTGCCGACGCCGGCTTTACCGCTTCCGTGCTCGTGACCAGGCGCAACTGCTCTTGTGTTTTACTTGCTCTGTCTCTTTGCTCCCTTGCCCACCTTATATAAAGGCACTCCGAGGAGATGGCACTGTTGATTTGCCAGTGCATGCCATTTCTCAGCCAGACTGTCGTTGTTTAGACTGCATTGTCATGCTGCCGGTGAGTGCCCCATACCGATTCGATACACTACTTTGCTTTTAATCTGTTGTTCCAAAGAAAGAAACCTTCATTAATCAAAATGCTTTGTCGGCAGCCAAAGGTTTTTGTCTTTTTGTCCTTTATTGTCACCCTACAGTCGGTCCACGGCCATCGTCAGCAGAGGTACGATGAGGAGCCTGAGGAGCAACAGCAGCAGCAGCACTACAAGGACAAACCCGTACTGAAGCGATTCTTGCGGCGAACTCGCTTGCCAATCATCTACAAAAGCGGATCACCCTCGATGGACAGCAAGCCAGCACCATCGGCGCCTTTTTATCTGCACCAGTCACCCTCTATGGACACCGAGTGGCGTCGTTGGGCGTCAGAGATGGCTCCAGCAGTGTACAACAACGACCACCAATCGTATGAGCCCAACTACCGCCCCCTTATCAAGTCCCCACCCTTGTCAGAAAGTCGAATGTACTTTCGTCAGTATAATCAGCATCGTCACCCTCATCACCATCACCACCCTCACCACTCACCACCTTCTTTTCCAAACCATTTTGATCAGGGAGATCTGAACAACGAAGAGCCAATTGAAATTGGCGCCGGACCTCCACCGCCTTCAATGAGTCCCTCAGTAGCAGACCTGTACAGAGATTTAACTAGAAAACGTGGCCATCGTCATCGCAAGCCATATCAGCCTTCGATGCACCCAACAATGCACAACTACAGTGACATGACGCCCTACCAGCCTGAATCAGAGCAGTACCAGCCGGAGTCAAAAGAAGTCGATGAAGACTTTTCGCCCTATTCATTGTACCCAAATTTTGACGACGACCAAAACCTTTACGGCTACAATAACTTTTACAAAAAGAAATAAAGCAAAAAGTATTTTAGCGTATTTTTCTCTTGTGTACTCAAGGGAAAAACGATCGCCTTTTGATCTGATGATCAGATAACTATAGCAGTTGCAATTGAACCAAAATAAGTCAAGTTTTGTCGCACTTTTACAGTGAGCAATTAGCTATGAGAACTTTGATAAACAGCAGTTGCAGGATAGTCAAACTGGTCTGAGTGACACGCTTGGCTTGCACTAGTGTTTGCAGTTTAGAAAAAAAGATCACTACAAACAGTTTTCGCTACCAAATCTGTTTAGGTAAATTCTGTTCTCAACCGTACATTTTGCAACTGGTCATCTTTAACGCTTTCAGTTAGAAGTTATCGATCCACTATAATTATAATGTTATAAATTGCAAACAAGTTCAGATATAAAAATAAATATTTGTTGTGCTGTTAATTCTTACCTTCCATAGTAGTGTCATCCATTTCAGGCAAAAGCGCCTTGAGCGTTTTTTCAACGGCCACTGTGCGGCAGTGTACAAGAGAAGCGAGAAAAAGCTGTCCTTTAGACACAGCTACCCCAAAGTCGACTAAGTTTATCAGCAGGTGGTTCATCTTGGTGCCCAGAGCGACGGCCAAAAAGAGCAGCTTCTGGTGGTCATCACACTGCTCGGGCAGCTCATCGAGCAGAGCAATGCTCAGGTCAAACCAAAAGTTCAGCAATGAAATCTCCTGTTTGTCCACTTTCTTCTTGCTCACTTTGCTATCTTTGAAGAGGTCTTCCTGCTCATGGAAAAGAATATTTCCTACAAGAAATATCAGCTGATGAAGCTCTTCAGCCAAGAAAACGTTCTTAAGAGTTTTCACTCCAACATTTTGCAAGATCGTTGAGAGATCACCAACCGCAGTCTGGACATCAGCACTGCTGGGCAGTGACAAACGGGCGATCATCAGCATCTTCTGCACTGCCTCATGAAGAAGAATGGTCTGCAGCTGCGGCTGGTCGACATTAGAGGAGGACTTTAGAGCGAGGCTGAGCAAGCCCTTGCGGGCAACCAGTGATTGGTGTCCATTGCGCAGACGACCAATAGCTTGGTCAAAGTGCGGATAGGGAGTGAAGCAGCGCAGACACTTGCCTCTAAGCACTGACACCTGGTCGATCACCGTTTGAATGGGCACGACGCCGGTGGGACAGGCACCACAGCGCAGAACGGCGTACTTGCTGACGTCAGCAAAGCAGGCGGAACAGGCACAGGCGAAGTAGTAGTCGTTGAGGCGTTTCTGCCGTTGGTGGTAGGGCATTGCTGGACAGGTGCCGTACGATATGGTGATCTGCTCTCCCGATTTGATATCGCTGGGGAGCAAGGAATACAAATAGGCTTAAGTAAATGGATTACATTGATCAGTGCTCACTTACCGATTGGCGAAGAAGGTGATCATTCCAGCGGCAGTGAACTCCCAGGTGGTGTTACAGTCACAGCTGTGGTTCACCAGCGAGGCCACCAGACACTGCACGTGGGCGACGTGCTCCAGCTTGCTCTCGCTGTCCGCCTCTGCGGACCACTTTTGCCAGCCAAAAGCGTTGAAGACGACACGACGAAGATCGCCGATGAGCAGCATTGCAAAGTGAAGACGAACGTCGGTCGAAAGTTCGACTCGTGAAATGAGCTCGTAAAGGGCGACAACCTCCAGCGCACGCACTGAGTGGCAGGCGTTCTCAGCAGCGCTGTGCACCTCGTCGTGGGAGATCAGCGAGCTGGACATTGCATAGGTGGCCATTCGCTCGTCAGCAGTCTTCTCAACTGGTCGAGTGATCTGTAGAGCACAGTCGACAAGGTAGTCCTCCACGGAGTAGTCAGCAAACTGCTCTGCACTTGTGATCATCGCCAGTGGCCCACCAGTCTTGGCAATCATGCGAAAGACGTGCGCTGTCTGGGTGCTGAAGGCCGCTTGCAGACCACACTCCAGTGAGTGAAAGTCAGTGTTGGCCAAGGAGGCTAGTAGGAAATCAGGTTTAGAAATAAGCCTTTCCTTTTCACTTTCATGAGCTTACCGCAAATGGCACTGCAAAAGAGCACCTCAGAGCAGGTGGCACACGGGTAAAATGACTGCTCCAGTGAGATGTGACAGTGCGAACATCGCTCCAGCATGTATTTGGGCATGAGGACGGCACAGTAGGGGTACTCCTCGAGGAGAACCTGCCCCTCGGTAATGTCTTCGCCGGCCACAAAGTGTCGCCCCACAACTGGCGAGCACTCGATCTTGCAGTTGCTGTCAATAAAGTAGGCAGTGTAGGGCTCACTGTGAGAAGAGCGGATTTCATTGCCGTCGCCTGCTGATGATGGCTTGGTCTGCTTTTCAATCCACTTCTTTGCAAAGCGAATTTCTTCTTCAAGAAAAGCTGCTTTTTCCTGGTCCTTCATGAAAAACTCAACTGCCATCAGGGCTGAGAACTTTGCTGCAGTTGAATCTTTGGCGCTCACGTGTAGCTTGAACTTGCGCAAGTATAGCTGCGAGAGAAAGGCCGACTCATAAAATGGAGCGTGGAGAATGGCCTAAAAAGGGAAAGGGTTAGAATTGGTCAACTGATAAAACACCGTACCTTTTTGTAAAACTGAAGAGCTTCATTCAAATAAATCTGACTGCCTTTGCCCGTTATACTTGCAAAAAAGTGAGCCTCATCACTAAACTGCTTTGCTTTTATTAAACTCTTGCCTGCTTTCTTCCGCAAAGTTGCAACAGTGGATGCAAATGAATTTCGCAACTTTTGGAAAGACAGCTTTTCTTCAAGAATGTACGACAAACGGTCCTTGTGGGATGACAGACAAGCAAAGTACTCATCGTTAACAAGCTCCTTGAACACCTTTGAGCTGAGCTTGGAATTCATCAGTGAATGCAACAACCAGCAAAAGCTTTGAAATCAAATGAAAAGCTCAGTCACTGTATCAGCTGTTTTTGTAACCAGTAAAGTTCGATTAGTTGAAAAAGTTCGACATTGGGGGCACGTTATCTTTGAACAGTCGCCAATGGTTAACGACAGCAAAGCGACGTCAGCTTCAACCCGAATCTGTCAAACCTCTCCATCCACCTTCCTTTCTAATCTTCTCTCTCTCTCCTCTTCAACGACCATGTCCGAGAGCTACTACTTTGTGAGTGGCGCCGAAGTGATGCTCCCCGTGAGCTCGGTGACCGAAGAACCCGACGAGGATATGCTCATTGCGGCACACATTTCTACCATCAACATTGCCTGTGACCGTCAAGAGGAGACACAGCAGCAGAAGCAGAAGGACGACTTGGCTCCGGCCACCACTAGCACTACTAGCACTGTCGTCGAGCAGAAGATGGACATTGAAGAACAGAATGCTGAGCCGAAGAAAAGTGAGAATGCTTCCGAGGAGAAGAAAGAAAAGCCAGCAAGTGTTGAGATAGTCGAGGCAAAGGTGCTGCAGGAGGACGAAAACTGCATCGAAGAGGACGCCTACGTGGCCTTTGGACCGGGCGGCGACCCAGGACGAGACAAGGCGCTGGGCGAGCTGATGGACGAAGAAGAGGAGATGCCTCACAAGGTGTGGATTCGCGATGATTGCTACGATTCAGAGGACTCCTACTTTGATGAGGATTACTTTGATGACTTTGATGATTGCTTCTAGGCTTCTGCTTCTTTGTCGATGACGTTAGCTTTTGCCAGGCCTCTAATAAAAAGCGTATTTGTAACGAGCTTTTGTGAAAAGTCTTTAATGACATTGGAGGGAAGGTAAAGGATGCAATGTCGTTTAAAATGTGCAAGAAGGGCCTCTTTGCAAAGCTTTCTCTAAACGTAGGCAGGCTCGTAGAGTTTGCTGGCGAGAAACTGCTCCTTGTCGGCGGGCTCGGGCTTAACGTGCGCTAGGCCTTTTGCGTATAGCCACTCCGCCACCTTGGCGGCCACCTTCAGACTGGTGGCGCGAATGTTTGCCATGGGCGGGTACAAGGTCCCGTGCTGGAGAATGTCCGGCAGAGAGACCAGACCGGCCAGTGCGGTGGCCGCCACCAGAAAGACCTCAGGCGGAACGGTGGTGGCACGGCAGTGGACGACGGCGCAGGCCACCGCCGGGTACACGTACACGTTGTTGCCCTGGCCCGGCGTGAAGGTACGCCCAAAGGCGGTCACCTTCTCAAAGGGAGAGCCAGAGGCGAAGAGCGCACGACCGCCGGTGTGAAGGTAGGCCTCCTCGGCGGTGCACTCCGACTTGGAGGTAGGATTAGAGAGGGCAAAGATCACCGGCACTGGGTTGATCTCCGCCATCTTCGCCAGCACTGCCGCACAGAAGGCGCCCGGCTGGGCGGCCGCTCCGATGAGCACGTTTGGGCGAAGCTTCTCGATGATGGCTAGAAGATCCTTCGTCGGTGGCATCGCCTCCGCCTTCAGCCTGGCAGCGTAGCAGTCCTTGTGAGCGTCACCTCGTGGCCGATCACTGGTCACCAGGCCCTGCGAGTCGATGAGAAAGATGCGAGAGCGAGCATCAACAGTGGAGAGGCCTTGCTCGTTCATCGCCATCACCAGAAGGTCGGCAATGCCCAGTGCAGCCTGACAGAAGGTACCACCACCAACATGAACAGACAGAAGAGGTCAACACACTGAACTTACCTCGCCAGCGCCGAGAAAAAGAACCTTCAGGTCAGCCAGCTTCGAGGTGGTCACCTTGAGACTGGCCAGCACACCAGCCACAGCCACGGAGGCAGTTCCCTGAATGTCATCATTGAAGGTGCAGTATCGGTCCTGGTACTTGGCCAGCAGTCGGAAGGCGTTCTTGTTCCCAAAGTCCTCAAACTGAACCAGGCACTGGCGACCCCATCGCTTCACCACCGCCTCCATGAACTCGTCCACCAGACGGTCGTAGGCAGAGCCGCTCAGGCGCTTCTGCTTCAGGCCAATGTAGTGCGGCAGGGCGAGCAGCGCCTCATTGTTCGTGCCCACGTCCAGCGTCACCGGGAGCGTCTGAGCGGCGTCAATGCCGCCCACTGCGGTGTACAGGGCGATCTTGCCCACGGGAATGCCCATGCCGTTGGCGCCCAGGTCGCCCAGTCCCAGGATGCGCTCACCGTCGGTGACCTGTTGTGTTTGCTCAAATATTAGATGCATGCTGCCTGTGCAAAATGACTTACCACAATGGCGCGCACATCGTTGACTGGGTAGTTGGCCAGCACTTCGCTCACATGACCGACGTCAGTGGCGGCGATGAAGACGCCTCGAGGACGACGCACCACCAGACTGTACTGCTGACAGGCGAGGCCGACCGTGGGCGTGTAGACGAGGGGCATCACCTCGGTGGCGTAGGTGATGAGCACCTTGTAGAAGAGCACTCGGTTGCGGTCCTGCAGCTCACGCAGGTGCATGTACTTGGCGAGGGCGTTGTCGCCCAGCAAGGCCAGACAGTCCATCTCGAGGCGGGCCTGCTGCTCAAGGCTGCGAACGGCCACTGGCAGGAGGCCCTTCAGGTGGCCTGCTTCACGTTCTTCCGCCTTGAAGGCGAGGTCCTGGTGGAGAGTGGAAGGGACAAAGAGGGAAATCATAAACAAGAGAAATCAGCTGAATGTTGTTACCTTGTTGTACTTGGGACAGTGCAGAAGGCTGAGCCCGCTGGGCTTGCAGTTGCGAGCACTTGGAGACTTTGCCATCGAAACAAACTTGGCACTGGCTGGTTTAGAGGATAGAAAGATAACTTTAGCTGAAAAAAACTGCACAACAAACACTGCCGAGATGACGCAATGAAATAACTGGCAAGTGCAGATATACTCTCAAAAGAGAACAATTTGCAGAGGGGAGTTTTCTAAATTAATTTTGAAGTTAAATCAAATGCTCTTAATGAATTTACAAAAGTATTGAGAATGTTAAAAGAATCAAAGTAAAATCGTCACAAAATTAGGCAAAAGTAAGATTATATAAACATAAATTGAATTCTGTTGAAAGCTGTCAGCAGTTATCTCTTCAATACACCTAACTTTCAACCCTAACTCGGAATGTTGATATGGTATACATAAATCTCCTCTTTGTTCGCCGGTGTAGGAGGATCAGTATTGTCACGATCGACAGAATAGTTGAGCCATCTTTCAAGGTATTTGATGCGGGGAGGTATTGGCTCAAAGTTGATTACCACTGAAGGACGCTTCTTAAAGAAATCGAAGTTGTCTCGCAAAAACTTAATTGTGGTTATGAGGCATCGAAATGTAGCAAGGCTGTCTTTGCTCAGCTCAAACATTTTGTTGGCATTGTCCATCTCTGTGGCCGAGACTGCGGTAGTTTTGTTGATGATCGGCACTGACCAGAAGCCTTCATTGCAAAGTTGAGTAGCAAGAGACTCGACTAGTTGATCATCTTCTTGTATTATTAGAACGGGTGTATCCAGGTTGCTGCACTCTAAAATCTTTGTAGCGTACTCAATTAATTCACTTTTTCGGCGTACAAAAAGATCGATGTGACGAATGGTCTGACGTTCTGATTCAGTATAACCAGATAGGTAAAGATCGTAGTCTAAAAAATAAAAAATAGGTAAACTTCCAAAATATTTTATGAAATGTTTTCTTACTTGGGCTTCTGAATGGAATAAAAATATCCGGCTTGATTCCTGTATCTATTTAAAAGAAAAGTACATAAAAATGTTCTTGGTAAATCAAAACATTTACTTTGAGCGCCATTTTGAGTTGGTCCATCTTGAGCTCCATTATTATCTGCAGGCTGGTTTTGCTGTTGATTTGCATCATCGTCAATTATGTTGTTGTTATTGTCGTTTTGAGCAGGTCTATTCTGATCAGGGTTTTGATCAGGATTTTGATCAGGATTTTCAGCTTCCTTGGGTGACACATTTTTATGTTTCTTTTTCGGTTCAGCTGTCCAATCAGTAACGCTTTCATTTTCATCAGCTACAACTTCAGAGCTTTCTTCTTCGGGATTTTGGTGTCCGCTCCCTGATTGACCGCCCTCTTGCGAGTTTTCACCTTGAGCATTATCATCGAAAGAAGGTTCACATGGTGGTCCAATTTTTTCACCTGCACAAATTACTGTTTAGAAAAATGCCCAAATAAAAATCAAAAACAAAACTTACGAAGTTCTTTTGCTTCTTCTTCTATAATGCTGAAATATTCGCCCATTTCTCCATCTAGTTCCTCAAGCTTCCACATTGTGTGTGTGCGTTGATGAGACACAAAATGAGAATAACAGAAAATCAGATCTTGAAGCAACAAAACTGCAGCGTTCTTTGCTCAGACGCAGTTTACTCAGAGATTCTTCTTCAGAAAGAGAATTTTGCAAAAATCGCAAAAAACGATTGATCAGAGCAGACATTCACAAACGATGTACATGCAAAAAATTGGCGGCGCGGCGCCTCTTTGAAATTGCAAAGCTGAAAAAGTGGTGAGCTTTGATGACGATCTCAAAATGAAATGTACTTTAGAACTTTGTAATCGTTTGTTGCTACTGTTGAGAAAAAAAGAGCAAACTCCTCTGATCTTGCCGCCCCTGTCAAGCGTTGGTTCATAACAACTGGCTTGTGTCCGGGAACCAACACCATCTGACCACTTTCGGTAGCTGATTGAACGCTGATTCAGGCGCCTAATCACTCGTTTGCTAATTATAACCAGTTTAATGTTTCTATTATTAGAGGGTGCTTCCACTTCAGGTGACAATCACATTGCCTCCTCTTGAGGTGCTGCAATAGGCGCAAGTAGTAGCCACTTTGACTGGTCGTATTTTTAGGTTTCAAGTACTCGAGAGTAATATCTAAGATTGTCAGTTAGTTTAAGCAGCCTTTATAAAAGTAAAGCCGTGGACTCGTGAAGAGTAGCAAACCACAATTCACTATTCGCCAACAAAAAATGACTGACTTAGAAAAGAACAACTTCAGCAAAGAGGACTTTTCAGGATCTGCAGACGATGTCAATCGCCCTTCCAATTCAAACAATCATCACCGAAGCAGTGTAGCAAGCAGCCAGAGTCTACTCTCATCGCAAAAGCTGTCATGGAGAACCAAGATCGGCTACTCCTTTGGTCACATTCTCAATGACTTAACTGGCTCCATTTGGTTCAGCTACACCTTACTGTAAGTACCTGCACCCGCCGTACACCTCTCTCTGAAAATTCTTCTTTAGCTTTTTCCAGTACCGTTTCAGCGGCTCTCTTGGGGGCACGTTAATTCTGCTGGGCCAGGTCGCCGACGCCATCGCCTCGCCCTTTGTCGGCTACCAGTCAGACCGGTGCGGCTCAATGTGGCTCTTTGCCCGCTTCGGTCGTCGGAAAACCTGGCACTTCATTGGCGTGCTCATGAACCTGGTCAGCGTTCCACTGCTCTACAACCGATGCGCCCTTGGCCTCTGCGAGAGCGCCCCACAGTGGTCGCAGTTCTTCTACTACGCAGTCCTGGGCATCATCAACCAAGCGGGCTGGGCGGCGTCACAGGTACGACACCGATGCGACCGAGAAGCAGTCTTCCACTTGACCCTGATCATCACTTATCGCCTCTCCCTCTCTCTCCTCTAGGTCACTCACGTGTCGCTGATCACCGATCTGACGAGTGACACCAATGAACGCATTGCTCTGAACACCTACCGGTAAGTGTGCAACCACTTGAGATTGGTACACGACAGTGGAATGCGATCTACCTGATAGCGTTCACTAGCACACTGCCCGAATCTGACCCCCATGTTTTGCCCCCAGACAAGCAGCCACCATCGCCTCCAACATTTGCCTCTATACGGTGACCTACTTTGTCATTGCTTCACTTAACGACAAGCAGACTGGAGAGGCAAGGGAAACGATTCGCCAGGAGGATCTGGTCGTTTTCACTGTAAGTGTGTTCACTTCTTGAAAGCCAGCATTATCAACATTATTTCTTTCTCCAAACCGCCAGTATGTCGCCTACATCGTCTGCTTGATTGGTCTCGTCTTTGCGGTCCTCTTTCAAATTCTGGTAAGGGAGCCTGACCCACCGGCGAAACCACGCAAAGTGAAACCCGAAGACACAAAACGATTTCTAAGAAGCAGTCGTGGCTCTCAAGGCATAATCACTTTGCTGGCTAACCAGACAAGCGACGATACGGCGCCTTCATCTTCGGCAAAGAATGCACAGCTACCAATTTCCACCATCAGCTACCTGGCCGATGCAGAAGAGTTCGAACGGCGTCTGAAGCAGGCGAAAACTGCCCAGAAGCGATGGTACCACTGGTTTCGTTCGCTGTCCTTCTGGAAGATAACCATCATCTACACCTTTGCGAGGTGCACACTGAACGTGACACAGGTCTACACGCCCCTCTACCTGCAGTACTACCTCCGCCTGCCGAAGAAATCAATCGCCGTCAATCCCTTTGCCACCTACTTTGCAGGACTGGCCTTTTCCTTTGCAGCCAAGCCGTTCTCCGCTCGGTTCGGCTCCCGGTGGACGTTGTTTGTGGGCACCCTCTTCGGCGCCGCCACCAGCGTGTGGCTCTGGTTCGGCGATGCCGAATCCGCCAGTTATCGCCTGTACCAGGTGTACGCAGTGGCGGGATGTCTGGGCACTGCAGGCACCGTAGTATTAATTAGCAGTCTGGCCCTCACCAGTGATCTCATCGGCGGAAACACAAGCAGCGGAGCCTTTGTTTTCGCAGCCATGGTAAAGTCAAATTCTTTTGTTTGTAAACAACTACTGACCTGAACCGTTTTCCCCCCATGAACAGAGTTTTTTCGATAAGTCCATAAACGGTATCGTCATAGCCATCCTTGAGCAGTGTAAACCATCGGAAAGTCTCCATTCGACTAGTCCACAGAACTACTATCGCTTGATCATGGTCACGTTGACCGGTCTGCCGGCAATAGTCATCTTTCTTCTTTTGTTGACACTGCTTCGGACAAACTACGGCCGTCGGTCTCGGGCAAATTCAGTTGTCTCTATGCATCACTAGCAAAAAAGCTTTTCATTGTACTTTCACCATTACCGTAAAGACGTTCTTATGAAGTTTTTTTCAGCAAAAATATTGTTTACTGAAAACATTTTTTCAAACGCGCCCTAGCGGCGTGCAAGAGTTACTTGACTATTGCATAAGGGAAAGCGTTTTAGAACATGTCATTTCGCGGTGAAGCTGTACATATGCAGTGCAGCATTTTGCCTTCTTCATCACCTCCATCTTTATCGGATTTTTTTGCTTTGATGATGCCGAATTTATTTGATAACGAGGACGATGAGGACACCTTGGATTGGAAACCTCCGATCAAGGTCATCAAGATCAGCAATAATGGTGATGAAGTGGACACTCATTTTTCTGACACCTCGTCAACCCTCACCATTGGATCTTCGGACTGGGAGGATAGCGACTGCAAGACTGTTTCTACAAGCAATACAAACTGCGATTCAAACGCCATCATGCTCGATACGCTGATTCTGCAATACCCAAATCCAGGAGATGCAAGTCCGATAAAGATATTCTCTAAAAACCTTCTTTCTCTTCTGCCTGGGTACCGTCCAGATAAACCTATCATTCGCTTTTCCCTTCGTTACATGATCTTCAACGGTCTTCCATATCAGATGCGCAGCTCTATTCTCTACTTTGACCTTAATGTTCTTGAGCAGTACAGTGTGTCGGCTTTAACAACCGAAGACAAGCTCGACTTTTTGCGAACACACACTCTGACGCCGGCAAAGAAGTATCTTGTTTTTCCTTTTGAACTCACAAATGATCCCCAAGATTCGCCGCACATTGCACTGGTCATCGTCACCGACTTTGAGGCCATGTTTCGGCGAAGTAAGGAGCCTTGTTACAATGTTCTCATCACCTTTGCCTACGTTCTTGATCCGAACGCCGTGTTCCCCGACCAGCAGCATCGATCAAAGCAGCTTTTCCGTCTTTCGTCGCTCATTAAGAACTACCTTTCGGGTTTGTACCACCGGTACATGCGTCACTCGGAGGCGACGGAGATTCTAGTAGTCCTCAGGACGATCCTTCTTCCCCAGGCCCACTTCAAGACTGACACCGACCTTCTCACAGTGACTTACTTACATTACTTCTTTAACAATGAAACTCATCGCAGGCTGATTCTCACACGTCAGCTTGTGGACCTTCGTCCACTCAATCTCACCTTTGAAGTGCCTTGTCGAAAAAGCATTTTTGAGGTGATTCTTTCACACGTCAATCCTTCGCAACGAAAAACTTTGCGCGCCCAGCTCACCGCCAAGTCCGGTGATCCAGACTTTTACCAGAAGTAGAAGAAGACACAGGTACACTGACCCAACGTTCTTGCAACTCAAATAACATAACATTCTACTTTACTTTGCCTGTTTGCCGCTTGGCTGCACCTGTTGCACCACTGCATTTTTCTGTCATTACTACATTATTACAATTTTATAACCAATTAAACTCATTTCTTTTACTGTAAACTTTCTCGTGTACCTGATTGTTGGCAACAAACTTGATCCAGTAGCGGAACCAATGCTCTAGATCACTAGATTAGCACTCGTACTCGCCATTGTAATCTTACAAATGATGAAACCCCTTCAATTGATAGCCTATCATGGACTAATGCAGGTGCATCGGAACGCACTACAGTTACACATGCATAGGTGGTGGCCTAAGCAACAGGATAAGCCATTTGTNCCAATGCTCTAGATCACTAGATTAGCACTCGTACTCGCCATTGTAATCTTACAAATGATGAAACCCCTTCAATTGATAGCCTATCATGGACTAATGCAGGTGCATCGGAACGCACTACAGTTACACATGCATAGGTGGTGGCCTAAGCAACAGGATAAGTTTGCGATGGTATGCAAAAAGTACAATGGCAGATTTTGCAACCAATCGAGTACTCAGTGGACACCAACAAGAAGGGCTTTTCTTTTGACTACTATTTAAGACGTTCTGACTGCTACTGGATCATCATCCCTTCACAGACAAGCTCAACCAAAAAAACTAACAAAATGAAGTCAACTCTTTCGATTCTCATTGTCGCCTCTCTGGCGAGCATTGGTAAGTTCTACTAGGGCACTTCAAAATACTCGACTAACCACCGACACTTTTCTACAGCTTTCAGCGACTCTGCCGCGAGCAATCGCTTCGTCGACCAAGTGGTGGCCGCTCTGAAGGCGGACAAGAACTTCGACCCCCTTCACATCAACACGATCTACAAGACGCACTTCAGCCGGAACATCGGCCACCTGCACCCGATTCACCTGGAGGGCGACATCAAGGTACACTCCACCGTCATCAGCGGCCTCAGCCGTGTTCACCGAGTGGGCGATGCAGTGGTGGGCAGTGGCGCCCAGGGCAATGGCTCCTTCTCCGCAAAGATGGCCCTCGGCGATGAGGAGGGCATCAAGGCCACCGCTCTGGTGTCCATTCACGGCACGCACGTCCACCCTGAGCTGCAGGTGATGGTGACCGCCGGCAGAGTGGGCGTGCACTTTGACGTGGAGGCCAATGCGGCCGGCAATGCCACCCTGGCCACCTTTGTCATTGACAAGTTTGAGCAGGTACACTTTCACGTTGTTGGCCTCTTTGCAAATGAGCCACTCTTCGAAGTGCTCGCCGACGCCTACGTGTTCTTCTTCAATGAGCACGTAAAGAAGGCCATCGCTGATGCCGTCAAGCCGATCATCGAGGCGGAGCTGAAGAGCCACAAGGTGGGCGTCTTTTAGAGCTACAAGAAATCTCTTTATGTAAATGTAAAAATGACGACCAAAAACAATATTATTATTTGTGAGTAAATTATAAAAAGATAAATAAAGTAAGTGATAAAAAAGTATGCGCCTAGAGTGTGGCCATTTAAGTATTCTTCATCGCCTCTTTTCGCGCCTTCACCTTGGCGCACTGGTAGGCGATGAGCACCGTGACCAGGGTGCCAATGAAGATGCCCAGAATGCCCACGGCGACAATGATCAGTATGTCAACCAGTGTGTAGTTGCTGACGGTGTTCTGCTTGGAGGGGGCAGGCGTCGCCGGCTTACTGTCCGGTTTCTTGGTCGTCGCAGCAGGCTTCTTTGTGGTAGCGGTGACCTTTTTCGTTGTCGGCTTTTGCGTGGCCGGCTTCTTGGTGGTGGAAAAGCGAACCTCAGGGTGGTAGCAGGACGAGTGGACGTCGCCGATCATGTTGGAGCACAGGTTCTTGCCGAGGTCGGCCTCGGCGGTGGGCGAGTGGATGCCGTTGATGGCCACCCAGGGCGACTTGCCCACCGCCTCAAAGGTGGCCAGCGTCTTTGTCCGACTTTCTCCCAGCAGCTTCTGCCCTTCAGTGCCGCCCACACAGGTCGTCAGTGGAGTGAGGTNAGTGGATGCCGTTGATGGCCACCCAGGGCGACTTGCCCACCGCCTCAAAGGTGGCCAGCGTCTTTGTCCGACTTTCCGCCAGCAGCTTCTGCCCTTCAGTGCCGCCCACACAGGTCGTCAGTGGAGTGAGGTCAGCAATGCCAGCAGTCTTTCCGCAGGTCTCCATTAGGTGGCTGGAGTTCTTGTCCTTGGCGTAGCCGTCCAGCATGCACCCGATCAGTGTGAGGGTCTGCGTCTTGCCATCCCAGAGAATGGGCGCATCATCAATCATCTCGTCCTTGAAGAAGCGGTTCAGAGCACAGGCCTATTGAAAGATGGTGCTTTAGTAAAGAACAGCAGCAACAACAACAAGTATGCGACTTACGTGAATCCTATTATGCAGACAAGTCTCCTCCTGCTTTCCAGCGCACTCCTGCTCCAGTGTCTGCTGGGCGTGAGGCACGCCAAAGGGAATCAACTGCAGGTTCACCCGCTCTCGAAGCTTGTTGAACATGGGCAGCAGTTGACCTTTGAAGAACTTGCTGAAGGGCGCATCCAGCGCCGAATAGAAGACTTCCAGTGTGGTCGTAGTGCACTCTACTGGCTTCTCATCGGTGAACTTCTGGCAAACCGTCTGCATTAGATCGCCAGTGGCTCGCTGGCTATGCTTGGCGCCGTCCAACGTCACCCAGGGCATCACCTTCAGGTCAGTCTCGCCCCTGATCGCCTTGGTCGCCTCAATGGCCGCCTTGAAGACCTCATTGCCGGCCGGTGAGCTGAGGTGTATCTGCAGGTCGAACCACTTCTCATCAGGCAGCCACTGGCCGAGGCAGTCCTCGCCGATGGTGTACCAGTCCTTGCTGAAGTTGCCATTGCTGGAGAGGCAGTCGATGAAGAGCGTCAGCCGCAGTGAGCCGTCAATCGAGTCGCCCACGTCGTTGATCTTCGAGTACTTTTCAATGATCACCGACTGCAGCTTGTTGGCCATACAGGCGGAGGTCTTGTTCAGACTGACACAGGTGCCGTCGGTGTGCTCGGGGTCTTTGATGTTGCCGCCGGGGACCAGGTGCACTGTGGCCATCTCCTCAAAGTAGGGGTACCAGGGCGCGTACTGGGTGGTGAGGAAGCGGCGCGAGTGCTCATCAAAGGCATCATAGTAGACCTCCACTTTGATCTTCTCGTGCGCAGTCGCCGCTGAAAGGCAGTACTCGGGCTTTGAAGTGGCGTCCTGTGAAAAAGAGAAAATGAAGTTTAGAAGCTTGTCCAATCAAAGCTGTACCCAAGCCGCCTTACAATGAGATCGCAAATGTGAGTGCGCATAGTCTTATGGTCTGCCAGCTCAGCGCCGTCCACAATGACAATGGGAAAGTCTCGGTGTTCGACGTTGGCCAGTAGTGCCTTTGTCTCGTCCAGGTACCCT